AGCGATCAATAGTCCCAGGGATCTCGGAAGCAAAATGGCGGCCGTCTAAACACGACATTTCCTACTAAATTCGGTTGCCACATACGCGGAACTCTGACTTCCAATCTCAATTCCGTTTGGATATTTTTTAACAACAAGTGATTGAAATTTATCGTTAATACTAACATCTTTGATTTCATGTATTATTTATTCAAAACTTTGCACAACGTAACCACGTCTGATCCGCTTTGTCTGTTCGGCCAACACACCACGTCGAGTAGAATTTGATATTCCCGAATCTGGATTGAAATTTCCACAACTAACTACCATAGTTGTGTTATATAATAATTAGTTGAATAATATAATATGTTACTTCGTGTGGATCTGTTAGCGTTTCTTCAACAGAATGCTGTCAATATCCATCAAATTCGGCTTAATTCGCAAACGGAAATAATTGGCACTGCCAACTGTTCAAGTACTGTTGGCCAGAATAATTCGCTAAATACTTACGAAAGCACAAGTATTGTGTTTTAAAAAAGCAATGTTAAATAGTTTCAAAACTAAAAACTACTTGAAACTTCTGGGAAATCATATATAAAGATAATATCTTGATTCTAGCGCATTGCCAACAACAAAAGACGACAGGTCACGCACACAGTTGACCATTACGTTTAATGTTTTACGCGTTGTACCTTGCAAGTTTGATAAACAAATGTGTGATGATGAAAGTTTAGTAAAAGCCGGGAATATTCCGTAGTGACCAGGAATATTCCTGCTTTATATAATTCTATACTATTATCAAAAATCTTATTATTTAAATACTTTCCCATATATTTTTCTGTGACGGTACTATACTTTCGGTATGCATAATTGAAATCAACATACATGAGTCATCATTAATTTTTGTCACTGGGCGCTTCTAGCTTTTATATCGATGCTTGTTCTAATATTATATTATTGCAAACGTAGTTCTGTCCCATTAATATTATCGATTCAACGATGTCTTCGCTATGTTGTTTTATCGGAGGAAAAGAAGAATACTTTTGCTGCAGCGAGGAACTAATTCGTCTGACAGAATGTCAAAGTGACATAAAACGTCACCTTCGAACTAACCATCTTTCTTCTGAAACACTAACAAAAGTAGAGTTAATCCTTTTAAGGGCAGGAATAGTCAATCTTCGCCAGGGACAAATAGATGCAATGTGAATCTGTACAAAGCACCGACTCACTCTTGGAAAGCAGTGGAGACCAGCTCGCCTATCCTGTCACTACCATAAACACAATGGCAAGCGAAAGGCCCTAAAAACGCGTGATACGATTGGAGTAGACATGTGCAAAAATATACAACAGTTAAACCAAGTCCATGTTTCTGTTGGATCACGTAAGAACTTTCCAAATTAATCCTGTTCTTTAAAAGTTATTTGCAAATTAGGGACCGCTCATTATTTATTGTACAGGGGGGGATTGAGGAGAAACTGGGGGGCTTTTAAATTTTTTAAAACCTGAAAGGGGGGGCGGGGCTTTGAAAAAATACAGAGAGATGAAAGAAGGGGGGCTTTGAAAATATTTACCAGTTTGAATAAAACATTACTAGTTTTAAAAATGTATCACAAAACAACTTAACAACAAATAATGTTTATAGACCTAATATTTATAAATGGAAGCCAAGTCTCTTATGTTCATGTAAATAGACAATTCCCATTGTAGACTAATTTTAGAACTAGGCAAAGAGATGCAAATCAAGGCCGAATTTTGGTGAAAATATAGTGGGGGAGGTGGAAAAAATGTTAGGGGAGGTGCAGCAGTCTAGCTTACTACCCCCATGGAAAATTAGGGCTTATTGTAGAACAGGCCAATATCAACAAGGTGAGGTATGCATGTAGTGTACATATGTACCAGTGTATTAATGAATTATGAATGTATGACTCCAATCTTTCCCTTCATTGCAATTGCTACAAAGTTTCTTTCAAAACATTGCATTAACAGTGTACTTGACACAGATATGAATGGCTATCACCGTTTCAATTCTACAGAGAAAACTTTCTCACGTCACGAAGTGTAGATCCTAAGCAACCATCACATTTTCACTTTGTTCCATCATTGAAACTTTCCCAAGGGGAAGTGCATGACCTTTCAGGAGAGGTGCAAAAATTCTCAGGGGAAGTGCAAAACGATCTCAGGGGAGGTGCGCACCTCTCCACACCTCCCCTCAAAATCCGGCCTTGATGCAAATAAATCACCATTGCTAGAAAGAGCATACTAAAATAAGTAAATTATTTCAAAGTTTGGTTGCGAGATGTTGTAAAATACGGAAAATATAGCCTTGCAAAGTTTGCAAATTTTGTATACTTTTGTATTGCATGCGAAAATTGCAATACAAAAGTATACAAAATTTTTGCAACTTTGGAAGGCTATATATTTTCTACATTTTACAACATTTTGCAACCAAACATTGCAATTTTATTAATTTTAGTATGCCCTTCCCGGGAATATACTTTTTTAGTCTATAATGGGAATTGTCTATTGGTCCCCATTATCTATTTGTGTTTCTCTAAATAAAGAGCTAGAGTTTTTGTTTCTCTAAATAAAGATAAAGAGCTAGGGGGGGGTTAAAATTTATGATCTTGTTTTGCCTGTTGGGGGGGGGGGCTTTGAAAATTTTACTTATCTTAAGAGGGGGGCAACGAAAAAATATTATAACTGTAGAGTTTCTCCTCAGTCTCCCCCTGTACAATAAATAATGAGCAGTCCCTTAAAATTGGTATATTGCCCTTGTACAGGATTGTCGCGTAGGTCATTCTAATTAAAGTAAAATTTCTTCCGTGCAAAAATTTCTTGTACATTTTTCATTAGCAGGGAGGGTGAAATATTTTCTCCAGACCCTTCTAAGTGTCGGGTTGGGAACTGTTTGAATTTCAGTTAACTTCAACTAAACCTTCATTCGTCTCAGTTGAGCGATATGTGTTAAATGCATATAAGCGATGAATAAGTAAGAGAATGTGACTGCTCATCCTCCTGATTTTCATATTTATGTTCTATAACACTGTACGTTGAAGTCGATTCTATAAATGGTAATATAATAAAATTGCAACAAACATAGTTCATGGGCCGGTTGTTCAAAGCTCGATTAGCACTGACCTAGCATAGGTTAAGTTTTAATCCGCTGTTTTGAGAGTATTTCTGTAAGACCGTTCTTTTCAAAAGTTAAAAAAAAAACATCTACTGATCCAAAAAAGATTTCTAGAAAACCTATTTAATTTTATAATCAAGCTGTTGGAAAGTTCCATTTGGACTCAGGGTTAGAACAACCGGCTTTTGATGACACTGGCGCCAGAATATAGAATGAAGCAATGTGTGCGCCTGCGCGTTTCGGGTTGTGTGTAGGGCTGGGAGAAACGTGGTAACTTGATTAGTGATTATACCACTCTCAGTTGTCGTACTAACAAGTCTTACACCTTATATTCTTGAGGATTGGCAGCATAATGAAATATTTTTTAGAACAAAATAAACGCGCAGACGGAAAGAAATTACGATATTATTATTGTTGACTCATTTGAGTCTCACCAATTATTAAACTTGCAGAAAGAAAATCAAGATTTGTAAGGTTGCTGTGGAAATACGGTTTTTAAACCAGAATTGATATGATCATGTAAAGCCTCAATATAACAGTTCATATTTTTTTGCAAGATACAACGCGTAAAACATTAAACGTAATGGTCAACTGTGTGCGTGACCTGTCGTCTTTTGCTGTTGGCAATGCGCTATAGAATCAAGATATTTTCTATATTTATGATTTCCCAGAAGTTTCAAGTAGTTTTTAGTTTTGAAACTATTTAACATTGCTTTTTAAAACACAATACTTGTGCTTTCTCAAGTATTTAGCGAATTACTCTGGCCAACAGTACTTGAACAATTGGCAGTGCCAATTATTTCCGTTTGCGAATTAAGCCGAATTTGATGGATATTGACAGCATTCTGTTGAAGAAACGCAAACAGATCCACACGAAATAACATATTATATTATTCAACTAATTATTATATAACACAACTATGGTAGTTAATTGTGGAAATTTCAATCCAGATTCGGGAATATCAAATTCTAATCGACGTGGTGTGTTGGCCGAACAGACAAAGCGGATCAGACGTGGTTACGTTGTGCAAAGTTTTGAATAAATAATACATGAAATCAAAGATGTTAGTATTAATGATTAATTTCAACCACTTCTTATTAAAAAATATCCAAGCGGAATTGAGATTGGAAGTCAGAGTTCCGCGTATGCGGCAACCGAATTTAGTAGGAAATGTCGTGTTTAGACGGCCGCCATTTTGCTTCCGAGATCCCTGGGACTATTGATCGCTATATCTGGATAAAATAAAATATTTGAGAAAAATAAAACCGATTCAGGTATTTAAAAGCTTAAACCTTCCTGGTCATAAAGTTTTAGGTGGGTTTACTTTTTACGTAAAATATGAGTGGTCGGTTTTTAGGGAGACAGCCTCTTAAGTTGCTAAACTGCTTTATATGTTTGACGTGATGGAAATATGGCCAGCTGTTTTTAGAAAAATGGTTATCGCCGATATTTAAAATTTTTGCATTACTCCATTAGTCATTAGCCCCTGCTGTTTGAATTTTGAATTATGCTGTGTTTGCTGTAGTGTTCGCAATCGTAGCTTATTTCAAATGTAATTATTCCAATGATGAACGTATATGTTGTCAGTTGGTATAAATACATTACCAGAAATATGGGACATTTTGCTCCCGCTTTTGTAGTCAGCGGCTAAGTCCGTTTTATATGCCTAACATTGCCTAACATAAGTAAAACGACTTCGCATTTTACTTTAAATCTCCAATTCAAGTATTATTCAGCCAAAAATTGTGATTTTAAACTATATTTTGCAGTTTTTGCTGAGCACTTCCGGTATTTTGACCTTTAACCCCGCAAATTTTTATCAAGACTAAAAATATCGCAAATATCCTAAAAAATCCTAAAATATCCCTGTGTTTTTACGTGTGAGAGCCTGGATCTAGTCTTGCAAAATAAACAAGAAACATGGCTGTTCGAAACAGCTCAAATTTGTATTAAAAGTTGTCGTTTTTGGATATTAAGATGGCCTAATGGCGACATACAAGAACCGTAAAAAGGCCAACTTTTAAACGATTTTGGAACCGGTTTGTCGTGGATTAACTAGCATTGTTTTTGGATAAATTAACTGTTTGAACATCGACAATTACATCGCGAAGTCCACAGCTTGAATCGCCCGAAAGGATACTACATTATTCGACGGATATCTATCTGGGGCCGGTTGTATAAAAACGTAGTTAGCGCTAACTGCAGTTAAAAAGTAGTTAACTCTTTTTCGTTCGCTGCTGAAATAACCAGGGGCCGTTGTATAAAACTCTTAATCACTTTTTTAATCACTATTTTGTAGTTAAATAGTGATTAACTCTCAAATACGCGCTTTTTATTGGATTACGTTTCCACTAACTATAGTTAACTTTAATCACTTTTTTATACAATCGGCCCCTGGTGTATAAGCGATTTACTATAAAATTACACTATCAACTCGATGGAATTGCCAGTGGAAGTACGTGTATCTCAGGAACCACCTAGACGTAAACAAATGCTAACAAACTTTATGTAGAAATGTTGCTTGTTCATGTCGTTATTATCGAAGTCCACAGTAATGAAATATTTAAACAAAGTAGGTTAAAATTTTATATTTTTGTCAACTCCTATACTGTTTATAGTAATTTTCGGTCGCCATCTTGTCCCAAATTTCTGGTGATGAAGCACGCATTCATTTCAAGATCCACTCCAGCTCGGCGCTACTTAAAAAGGTCGGAACGTTGTAAAGTCTAAGTGGAACAGCTGATAATAAAAAGGCTTGCATGAGTCTCACAGCTACTTTATTATTATTCTAATGTTGAAAAAGGTTGACATACATTGTGATGATGCATCTGTCTTATTGTTCATTATTTATTATACCTCCTCCAGTTATAATATCTCATCCCTGTTTTTTATTTGCTTGTGTTTCTTTGTTTGTTGTATGTTTGTCCGGCCAACTAGACACATTAAAAAGTATCTAACATGCAGTTCTAATTTAATACGAAGGTTTGTTTTTGTATACATTGCTTCCCCATGAACAATGAGTTACAGTATAATGATGTCTATATTTTATCAGTTTATTTATGAACACTGTTCTTTTTTGGCATTCTCTCAAAATGGGGTCTAATCTTTCCGCCAAGTCCGTGACTCGAATATTATAAAAACTTTCCAACAATAAAGCTCTCTGTGTATAAAATACTCGTAATTAGTTAATAATTATATATTGCACGTACATTACAAATCTCCAAGTCGGGAAGAACATGTTGTATACAAATGTTTCCCAATGCATGGCCTCATTTCCATGCTTGGTTATTAATTTAAACCTCCTAGCTATATTTCCCGCACATATACATTTCTTGATCCCAATCACAAGCCTATATAATCGCTATATCTTTAAACCCATTTTACACGAAACATGAGGAAATGACCATGCGTGAGAACGAGGCCATTGGGGCAAGAGAGACAATCAATATTAGCTCAACTCGCGAAGATACATGGCTTCCTGCTGCTATATGACCTGAAGCTCCAGAAAGACGAACCAGAATTACAGAAAGAATATTAATTAATAATTTCTTTTGAATTATATTTTTTCTTCCTAAGCTTATGGTTACAGCAGTGCATTTTTTAAGGATTCTTCAGTGGTGGGGCAAAACTGCCAAAGGGGCCATTTTCCTTGGTCTCCTCCCTGGATAGTATGCGATCGTCGAAGGTGTGGCTGAGTACTGCAGGCACGAGTCCGTTTGGGGGGGGGGGGGTCTGGGGGCGTGCCCCCAGGAAATGTTTAACATTTGGGTCTCTGAAATAGCATTTTCTGCATTCCGAGAACACATTTAAAAAAAATTGGCACGCTATGCATACATGTATCTATGCAAAGCATTGAACTGGCCCAAAGTAATTCGCATGGTTGCTATGAAAAAAACTGCATTTGTAGTTGTTTATATTTAACCTTATTTGTTATGATTCATGTCATTAACTACGTACAAGAAAATATTTGTCTTCGTTTTTTGCACAGACCTCGCTCGCTTCTTTGTTGCTGGGTGTGTACGAAAACCGAAATTGGCTTAGATATTTAGTTACATGAACAGTTTCACCGTTTTGTTTTGATGTGAACAAAGTAACAATGGCAATGGTCAATAAAAAATGAGTAATGAAAAATAGGTACGTATGTGTACATTTATTAGCAGTAAATTGCATTTTTTGGGGTATTCCAAAATTCCGGGTATTGGTTGGTTGGGTCAATTATTTTTTTGCGGTTAAAATAATTTTTCTTCGGCCCCAACCCCTGGTATAAAGAGTGACTGGTCCCTTAGTTCCTGTGGAAGATGCAGATTGAAAAGTTAAAGGCTAAGTGCTTCATCTTCATCACTTAACAGATCGATAAAGCGCCTGACAGGTGGATAGGTTGAGTAGTGACCAGTGACCAGTGACCTGGTAGTAAGTTAGTAACTGGTCAATTCTGGGGGTATATTTGGGGTTGGATCTTTGCATTAAATTTCAGTGCATTGTATTTACGGAATCCCGTGAATCGTGATACACTTGATACAATTTTATTACCCAGTAACCACAAAGTCTAATTAACAAAAACTATGATTATAAAGTAGAAAGTTATGATCAACAAAATGATGAATACCAGGCCCGTAGCTGAGGGGGTGGGCCTGGGGGGGCATTGCCCCCCCCCCCAACTCGGTGGGGCCCCCCCACTTGGAAATAAAATTGAAATTATGCCCCCCCTTACGTTTTGCAGAACTAATAGCTGTTAATGTTGTGTTTTTTTTGGGCTAAGTACCGAAATTTGGTATGAAAAATTGAGATGACAAATTCTGTAAATTTTGTGGTTAAGTGATGTTTCGAACATTTTTGAAAATAAATTTCGGAAAAATTTTTTTCTCATCTCAAACCCTCTGTTATATTCTTTCTGCAGTGCCCCCCCCCAGAAATTGAGAGCCAGCTACGGGCTTGATGAATACTCTAACTTTAAATTTCATGGCGGCATGCCCTGTACCCCCTAGAAAGTCCCCAACTTTGGCTGTTTGGCATGCATTGTCTTGTATTTCTAGAACTTCTCTTAGCCTCAACTTTGGCATTCTCGACCAGTACATTTCACTTTCAGCTATGTAATGTACTAAGACTTTCTTATTTTCAATTCAAGACAACAAAGTATACAAATATAATATCAAATATAGTATTTTTTTTAAAGTTTGAGTTCAAATGTTGTAACTTTCGAGCGTAATAGTTGATACCACAATCCTGGTCAAAAACCTTGACACATTACACATTTTCAGTGTTGAGTATGACTTTGCTCACAATAACAACTGTATTCCCCCCCCCC